CCCCCCCCTTTATGCCGAGAAATTCCGCAAAATTGCTATAGAATCCATCGGATTTCGTCGAAATCTCGTTTCGATTTTGTTTAAAAACCAACACGGAGGTGAACCTCTTAGCTGTGAACGAACGGCCGCGCGAGAAAAGTAACTGCAATTTGCCACTCGAATTTCTTCAAAGACGAAACGTGTATTTTGTAAATTTTTGACGTCTCGGAATCATTTCGAAGGTATACACTTCGCGTATACTCGATCAGTTTTTTTCAATAGTTTTTAATGCTATGTCAATCTGGATACACACATAGTTCGCTGTGTGCGCATGCTGGAAATCATCTTTCAGACGTGACTTGTTCGAATTGGTTTTTTGTTACAGGATTAACTTCCCTGAAAAAGACAATTTCTTTTTATTCCAAGTATTTGATTCCTTTTTTTTTTTTTTTTTGTCTAACAAGAGAATTACGAACGTTAAAGTTTTTGTAAACAATATCAATGAAATTAAACGATTAAAATTATTAATATTAATATTAATTAAATTAAACGATAAAAAATTATCGATTTAAGAAGAAAAGAACTAACCTAGTCATTCCCTTGTGATTCAACTCGATTTCACATACTCTGACATAATCTGTAATTCGTCGTCGCGTCGTCTCAGCTAAGAGGTTAATAATAAAATGAAAAAAAAAAAAAAAATTTACAATTGCACCACTTTTTGTACTAACGGCCATTTTTTCCTTTAACCCGTGAAAAATCAATAAATAAACAAAGGCGCGATTCCACGCGCGAATGCATTAACGATTGTCTCTTCATCGACGTGTGTACAATGGGGGTTGGTTGCCATCGTTCCCTAACAGTAAGACGTACGTTCGCGGATGGTTTTTTCCCCTTCGTTCTCGTCCGAGTCGAACACATCGAGGAAACGGGGGGCGACGGTGATCTCAGTTAGCCGATCGGTCGTTGTTTCTCTCCCCTTTCGATCGTTCTCCGATCGTTGCCTCTGCCTCGCCTCGCCTCGCCTCGCCTCGTCACCTTCCGTTCGCTTTGCTTTCCGTTCGTTCGTTTCGCTTCGCGAGCTCTGCACGCTTATCGGCCAAGTAGCCAAGGCGAAGTCTCGAACGCGCGAGAAATCCTGTCGGCGATCGAACGATCGGGGGGGGAGGAGGGCGAATTGTAAATTAGATTCAGAATCTTAGAAACGTTCGAGAGGAGGGGGGCGGCAGAGCTGCGAACGTGCCGCGTTACCCGATACAAATAGATAAATAATTATAGTTATGTACAAGTTATGAACATGGTGTACAAGTTGCCGGCGTCCGGGCAGTTTCTACGAGCTGAAAATTAGCTCGACGCTTCTCCACCCCGACGGGTGTGTGTGTGTGTGTGTGTGTGTGTGTGTGTGTGTGTGTGTGAATGTGTGTATATGCGTGTAACAATCATTATTAAACGGAGCACAGCTCCGTGGAGAAACAGCATTATATATATCACATAATTTCAGGCTACCATAATCTCTACGTCGTTCACTTCGTGTCCGTTCTTCCCGAAGTCGTCTTATCGCTAGCGTGACAGTAGTCTCGTTACGTTTTGCCTAAACGGTAATCACTCGAAACACTTGGTCAGTACCTTGGTATAGTATTCTCGGACAGATTTTTCCCATACAGGTCTGTTTCATCGTGACTCGCGCGGCCACTTCCCCTTTCACTTTTTTTTGTCACTCCTTTGAGTTTCCAAAGGCATTTCAAGACGATTGTTTCGACAAAAATGCGGAACGAACGTTTCTATGATGCAAATTGAACGCAAGTGGGCGAGAATTATTTCGCGAATCACGATGAAAACAGCCGATGAAAACATCCGAACACGCGCGACTTTGACCGAATATTTTACAAAGGGAGAAAGAGAGAGAGAGAGAGAGAGAGAGAGAGAGAGAGAGAGAGAGAGAGAGAGAGAGAGAGAGAGAGAGGAGCCATTGGCTCGTGCTTCTGTCCTCGTCGAGATCACCTCGATGGACGATCGAACGATCATAGTGCGAGTTTTTCTTGCTTGATTCCCTGTTCGATGCCCGTACGACCGCCATCTTGCCCCCCTCTTCGTTGGATCAGCATGGCTCAATCGAGCGCCAAGTCTAACAGAATTTCAAGCTCCTCTATCGTGAGTAATATGTACTATACGAGGCTTCGATCTACCGATAGATCGACAAGTGGTTTCACAGACGAGGTGTACGAATAGAACTTTCGTGGACCTGAAGTATCGACGTACTAAAGAATCACTGGTTCTCTAGCGCACTCTACGTTAAAACAGCGGCGAGTTTGGGAACTAACGAATGTAACCAGCAACTGTAATTTCTGAGACTCATTACAGTATTGTCAAGCTTTTGATATCAAAATGTGAACCGAGAGAACGAAGTAATACCGAAATGAAAGAATCTATCTCTATCCATGTTTCACGGATTTATCGCAATTTTTTTCAATATATAATAAGTTTAGTAAATTATCTAAATTATTAACACGTGGTTTCGTGTGTAAATTTTTCCAACAATTTTGAATTATTATTAATATCAAGATAAATAATATAAAAAAATTTCCAACAATTTTGAATTATTATTAATATCAAGATGAATAATATAAAAAAATTTCCAACAGTTTTGAATTATTATTAATATCAAGATGAATAATATAAAAAAATTTCCAACAATTTTGAATTATTATTAATATCAAGATGTTAAAATTATTATGTTTTATTTATTTACATATTCAAATTTGCGTTAAATTTTTAACAACCATGCAATGCATTCGTTGTGACAAATATAATTCTTTATCGATAAAGTACCACGTTCGATTCAACAAGTAATTCTCGAGACAGTCTGGCAACACTGTTCACGTTTTTTAATTTTGATTTTCACCACTAGTGGCGTTGCGGTGCAAAACCTGCCTGAATCGGTACGGCAGAATGTGACACAAAAATGGCAAATGCAGTCCCAGGACTGCAAAACCGTAGCGGAAAAAGTACAATTATTCATATACCTCGTTTGTGTGGTGGTTCAGGGACAAAAGGTTAGCTACACTAGCATCTCATTACTTATTGTCCTTGTTCAAGCAACTCGAGTTTCTAACCTCGGAGAGAGGTCCTTCTGCACTCTCGGCGCAACCAATAACGCGGATCGGCGCTGGCGAAGTTTAGGACTCGGGGGGAGGGCAAAGCACAGAAGAGAACTGCAGACCGTTTCGTTTCAGCTGGTCGAGAGGATCAACGATGCCATTGGGAGAAGACGAATGAGGAAATCCGGGACTCCAGACTGAGGGAGTCTTTGAAAAACGAACAAGCACCTAGCTTTGGAAATCAACGAGACTCCCTTCCAGAATCTGATCCGAGTGAAACTGAAAGAAAGAAAGAAAGAAAGAACAGGGTCCCGCGAAAGAAGTTGCGGTCGAGGGGCCATCGAACAGCGAACCAGCGTCCTCTGGAGCAGTGTCTAAATCCGCCTACGAAGTGTACCAGCGGAGCAGGGCAGTTCTGCGCGTTACGCGGAGGCGGGCGTCGCCGTGGCCTGTTCAAGAGGAGGACGCGAAATGGGACGCGACGACGCGGCGACGAGCGACGAACGGGACGATGGTGGGCGATCGTCACACGGTGGTCACCCGGTCGACCTCGACGTACCGCACAGAACTGTCGCTGTGTCAGCAAATCACTTCCTTCCCGTCGATGATCGCCGTCTCCGAGGAGATGCTCTTCAGCCGGTGCTGCGATATCGACCGGTTCGCCCGTTGCCTGCAGATCCGCCAGATCACGAAGCAGATCACGCCGAGGATCGTGACGATCGCGAGGATCCCGAGGCCGAGGTGAAGAGGCGGCAGCTGGAGCAGGACCGAGCAGTGGGTCAACGCCTCGTCGTACCCCGATGGACAGTGAGAGATCCCGTCGCACCACAGCGACGCGTTTATGCACGCGTCCAGCTCCGGGCATCGCTGTTCGCAGTCCCTTGGCATCTGAAGACCGGCGGTCGACGTCACCGACGGCCTGCAAGCGAAAAATGAGAGAAATACTGTTAAAAGGAACCTTGCTACCACGGATATTTATTCTTTCGAAAGAAGCTCGGTTTTTTCCCTTGTTTCCCACATAAATTTAGAATTTTATTAACAATAAAAATGCCTCTTTTTGACTTTAATTTAATATTGTATAATATTATATTGTGTATATTATAATTTTTAAGTTTTTTTTTAGAACGTTAAAATATTCGGCAGCGTGATACTTTCTCCTCTTTTCTCGCTTCGCTGAACGATACTTTTCATACTACTAGACCAGAGGTGGCTGACTGGCGGCCTCCCCCCCCACACACACTTTTCTGATTCGCTGGCGCTATCCCCTCCACTGCGTTGACAGTGTCGCGACCGCAATGCTTACTTTATTTCACATATGGCATCCATTCGTTCGTAATTGACGTAATTGTGAAATACCACGAAAATTAAAAAATTAAAATATGATAATATTATATTAAAATGTAATAAGAATTTTAATACAACTCAATATAATATTATTATATTTTAATAAATGTATTAAATTTTTAAATTTAATATAATATTATATTGAATTGTATTAAAAAATTAAAACAGAAAACCAGCCTGTCTAATATGTGTACACATCTTCTAGAGAGTAGAGATTCAGCGTCTTAAATATTTCAATTTTAGAAAGTATGTTATTCAATTCTAATTTATTGAAATAAAAAATTAAAGCTTCTAACTTTATAATTAGATATAAATGTCTTCATTTCTAAATATGTAGTTTATTTAAAACACTATATTTTCAATGTAAAAAAATTTTTATAATTATATTTAAAAATTTTTAATTTTTAATATTGTAATAAATTATTTAAATTATAACAAATTAATATAATATAAAAAAATTATTATTATATATTAATTATTAATTATGTGAATAAAGTTTTTTAAAAAATTAATATTATATAAAAACAAAATAATTATATTTTATTATTAACAAAAGTATATAAAATTAATTATTTTTATTATTACTATTAATTTGATTATAAATTAAATTAATTAAATACAATAATCTGGGAGAAATAAATCCATGTCTAATTATTATATAATATCTTCTACATAATCTTAATTTTGTCATTAATAATTCTTATATGAACAATTAAAGAAAGAGCAATAATTAATTTTATATCTAACTGACATAAATATATAATTCTTAAAAATATTATTCTATAAATTAATTATTATTAAATTAATATAAATTTTATTATACATATATATATATATATATATATATATATATATATATATATATATATATATATATATATATATATATATATAT